AGGCTGCTTGAAAGAATAACAGTCTTCTGCGCCTTGGGACCGCAGCTGTCAAATGACTAACTCGAAGGCAAGCGCCAAACGAAGTGAAGACGCATAAACGGCGTACGGAATGCATGCATACCCCTGCAGTGCATGCGGGCAACAAGAACCGCGACTGCTAACCACCTTGTCTGGATAGCGGACACCTGTTTCTGTGCATGGGAAAAATAACGAGACGAAAACTGCACATCAGCAGGAAATTTGTGATCGCCAGCTGTTATTCATCGTATAACCGTGCCGTACTCCTGCGTGAGGCCTAGTCGTCGAATGCGGTAGCGGCGGTGTATCTCGGTTCATCGCTGGAGCTGCTGAATGTTCGTCGTAGAAGTGTTTATGTGAGGCCTCCGGAGCTTTGTGTACGATTCAGTGCATTTTACGGGTTCAGACACAGTACTGCTAATAAAAATTCTAGCCGTACGACAGAACACCAACTGATAAAGCCCTTTCGCTATAGTTAAAAAAGTATTGAATACTAGGCGGGCTTAGCATAAAAGGCATGTGTGTTGAATTGCTTAAGTTAGGCCACCGCAAATCTACACCTACGCCGTGCTTATTTATAGCCTAATTATAAGAAAAAAAGAATCCCTCCAGAGCTACAAGGAAGGTCAAAACATGGTTCTTATATATACCCGGTGACCGAAGCGTGGGTGTGCAGCGCGAGCGGCCAGCTGGGGTGAGTGTGCGTGTTCTAATATTACTAGAACGTCATGTGCATGTTTGTGTACTGTGATCAAAATTGTGTGCTTCAAACGTAATTAAATTAAAGTTACACCTGTGCTTGGTATGGCTGCTCACGTAACTTTATTTTTTCAGTGGATGTAAAAATTTACTTCCATACTGACCTGAAAAAGCTCCCGATGGATGTCAATAAAAACACCCCTAAATCCATCCGAAACCCCCTTCTTTTGGGCAGTAGACTTTTCACTTCTCCGGGCGGTGTTTATAAAACCTCCATCGGGGCATGCGCTAGAGGACAAGTCGTTTACTCCCATCTCGTCTTATTTCTGTTTATAGTGTGGCTCAACGGACTAACATTTAGTCCTCACATTTACACCTTAGCGGGAAACCGTTAGTCCCCACATTTACACCTTACCGGGCAACCGTTTAGTCCTCGCAGTGGCACCTCATTGGACGAAGAGTTGGCCTACTCGAACACTCATTTCGAATGAATACTTTAACCCCAGTTGAAATGTTGTTTTTCTGTTTACTCTCCGCCAGGCCTAATACTTGTTTCGCCTGTTTTTCTCCGCAGTGAGCAACAAATATGGTGGAAAAGAACACGAGAAAAATTATTTATTCATCTGTGCATCACTGCTATCGTAGTCACTGCAACAACGAAAAACACAAGTGAGACATTGAAATTTTTTATTCCTCTATATACATACTAATTTTATTCCATCTTTCAGTGAATTCACGGTCAAATTTTTATGTCCAGCCTCGCTGGCACATCTGGTGGAGTCCTTGTGAAGCTGCTCCGACCGAAGCGACAGATGACAGGCATTGCAGACGCCAGCGCACACAGCCTTGTGCACGTTGGATGTACAATGAGATTGTAAAAATTGTTAGTGCATGTGACAGATGATGAAGATGCACGCATAAGACAAATACGTTCAAGATGAAATAAAAACATACGTGTGAAATATGAGATGCAAATTATTTCACCATAATGTCATAGTTTGTCAAACACGCATTCGCAGGTGAATCGAAGAGGCCTTATATTTGCTGCCAAACTCGGTAATAACATTACCGATGTTGTTACATGGATGAACAACAAATCATCAAAGACGCCAAAAAAATGGTCCAGACATGCGCTGTGCCAAGCTGTAATATCATACAAGATTTAAAGGATAATACCATTTAAATGATAATACCGATTACAGGACCAAAGCTAGTGAGGATCAAAAGGCAGCGCATAACATAAACTTTACATGTCTGCAGGATATCTTTATAAAAAAAGTACTTATGTATTGCCTAAATTTAGTGATGGCACAGTAACGCGCAGACTTTCTTCCTTTTTTATTAGGAACGCCTCAATATCCTCCTTTTCAGTGCGGCCGCTAGCTCTCCTTAGAAACGTGGTTTGGCATAAGTGTGGCGCACATTCATAACACACATCAAATGGACGTTTTTTTTCCCTTTGAGGGCGAATAAGTAGCCGGCTGCATGTTCCGAGAAGCAAGCTACGCGACACACCGAGTGTGTCAGCTATCTGGCTGGTGTTTCAACAACGGGGCATGGGAGCACCGCTTGGCAATGTTACGACCTTAATCACTGTTGAAGTCTTTCGGCCTTTGTGAACTGAACGAAAATATCTTGATGCATTCCAAGGGAGAGTGTGCCATCAAGACAGATTGGTTCCCTGTCAGCAAAACGTGAAAAAAAGGGTCCAGGACTGGTCTGCGCAAGGAAAGTGCAGGAGCCAAGAAAGGCCATTGTGAGCTCCACTCTATGCGAGGCTTTCCAGGCAAACAAGAAAGCAGCTGGGCCATTTTCGAGGTCACCGAGGATCATGGATATATCGGAACCAGCATGGTATTTGCAGTTTGGGCTGAAATCTAAAACCAAACTGGCTGTCGCTGCACCTTGCGAGGAGAAGCACAGCCCCGGATATTCATAGCTAAGCCGCAGCTTCTAGCAAACAACGAGGAATGGAATGTGGGGTTGAAGGAAAGGATAATGCACTATCTGCTGCAACCCTTGCGGGAGCCCGCCTCGACGACGAGGGATTAGTTGACTACTCCTCCTTCCCCTTTTCTCTATAGGATCGGCTGAATGGAGTGGCATATTTTGACGATACGCTGGCTCACCACTACATTGTCCTACCCAAACACGGTCAGGCAAGTTTGACACGTGTACTGGCAACCGGTTTTTTCGAACCTCACCACACTGCCAGAAGGGTCTTGGAAACCAAGGTCATCTAAGATCATCGGACCTGCGCGAAATCTTGGTGACGTGTGCGAAACCTCGGTGCAGTGCGTTTGCGACCTTGTTTGGGCATCTTGTAGACTGTGCCCTCTCCACATGCATTGTGTGGTGTCTTTCCCCTCCTTCGTGGGTGGAGCACCTAGACCATGGAGCGCCCTATTGGCGAAAGCCGCGGACAATGCACCCAGGGTTGGCAAAGTGGCGCTATATAAGCGGAAGACTTTTGCATATTTTATGTTTTACACTTCAACAGTTCCCTTGTACAGTTCTGATCACTTGATCATCTCCTTTCGAATTCTCAGTTACTAACCATGTAAATAAATTGTTGTCGTTTTTATGAGCACCTCATCTGACTTGTTCGACGATGGGTCCTAGGACGGGGGCCCGCTACCAAACTGAGGCCCGCGGGACCCGGAGTCGCAACGGCGGTGAGCAGCAACATGGGCGGACACTTGGCACACCACGGCAAGTGTTGTGGTCTGCCATTTTTTCCCGAGGAAAAAAAAAAGATGTTTGGTTACGGTGGGCAAAGCGTTTGCCCGAACGAAACATTGAGCTTGTTGGCTCATGGGTAGGGCTCCGCGTTATCGGAGAATCCTGAAAAAAAAGTGGACGAACACTCGCCGGTAAAAATTTTAACAGTTTGTATTTATCCGATAAACTTTAATAGGGCATTTTCATGGTTCAAAGTGCCTTTTCAAAGCTGATAATCCTCAGTCAGAAGGAGTGGACTTCTATCAGCGGCAGCAACTTCGTGCTTGCGTTTATTAAAACAAATTTAAGGTTTGGTTTTGGGAACTTAAACCTCTCAAATCAATCAAGCTTGAACGTTTCAATGGGAACAAACACGAGTGTCTTGTAGTCAAGCAAAAGAACTTGTTGTTGGGCTAGTTGTTAGATTTCAAAAAAATTAATTTGAGCGCAAACACACCCCACATTCACGCACACACACACGCACACCCAGGCATCTGTGCGTGTTTTATGCCTGGGTGTGCGTGTGCGTCATGTGTCATGTGTTTGCGCTCAAATTGATTTTTTGAATGGTAGTCACGTATTTGCGATTTTATGTGTATGGGTTTGCACGATGAAACCTTTCAGGCAGCTATATACACTTAGTGTGTTCACATGTTTTCGTGTTCAGATATCATTTCACCAAACATTTCGGAGTACTGAAAATAATAATAATAATAATCATAATAACTCCTTCCGAAGGTTTGGAAGCTGGGAGAAAAAGATGAGAAGCAGCTAACTTGGCCTGCTCGAGCTCCCCAAAAGTACACTTTGGACAGTTTACCGTAGTGCACATCTATAGCGAGCGAGAAAAATTAGGGGATGAAAAATCTGGATTCTCAACAAGAATGCTACGCATTTTCATTGAAAATAAGCTTGTAATGAGAAGACATTGTGACAACTTATAATGCAAAATTAAACCCTGAATTTTCCAGAATTGGCGATTTATGAGAAAGAAACTACAATAAATGCGGACTTTCCTCCAAAATAATAAACTCCGAAAAGCGCCGTCCGACTTTCAAGAAAAACTATCTCTGAAAACATAGAGCCCTGCTCATAGGCCACTGCCTCGTCAATGATTCTGCTGTCGCTGGTGCGTGTACAGGCACTATGTGGACATTTCAGAAGAGGAAACATTTCTTTGCTTACGCTGTATATTTATAAATGGAATAATTAAGGTAAAACAGTTTTACAAGAAATCATTACTGTGGGTGCTGTTTTTCGTTCCATTGTAATACACGTAAATTTCAGTTACAGATTTCCTGAAGGCAGTTTTGCACTGCACATTCCTCACTGATCGTGGATACTCACAACTCTATATTGCACGCGGAAGAGCCAGAAAGGCGCCACAGCTATTTTATTCCCGGTCGAACCAGGATTGGAAGGTTCGTAAGGCGCGCGCTTCACTGCCACTTCTCGTGGGAGAGGTGGTATTTCGCGATCCTTGAGCTTCTCGCAAACGCCGCGCAGCGTCGCACACGCGCTTCCGGGGCGTCACATGCCTTTTCTCCTCTCTCGTTCACGGTGAAGAACTTCCGGCGGGGCCGCGAGGCGACGCGTTGGTCCGCGATGCAACGACCGGGAGCACAGTGCGTGTGGTAGCTTCGCTCATGCTAGCTCGCGGCGTTGTCGCCCAGCATCGAGAGCCCATTCCATTGTCGTCCGTGGTAGCCGCTTAGGATTACGATCATTGGACGCCGACGCGGAACCCACAACAGTGAGTAGAACCCATTCTTTCAACGCGTAGTGTCTGATAAAGCCTGCACGGCTTCCTTGCGGGTCCTGTCTGAAGACGCACAACGAACGCCGTCGTCGCGTCGTGCACCTTCGAACGGACGCCGCCGCTCTCGAAAACGCACTTCGGTGCTGGCTGTGCGCCTTTCTTTTCGTGTTCGCGTATTGATTGTGCTTGTCTGCGTCGGTCGGCTACAGCTATTGACTTGATCGTTAGCCGAGGCGTGTTTGTTGTGCTTATTGATTGTAGCCGCCACTCGCCTTTACTTTTCGCGGCGGAGCATTCTCTCGATCGCGAAGGGCGCTCGGCCCCAGGTAGGCTGCTGCCACGGCCGCTCGCTTAGGTATCGCGGTCGCCGTGTCCCGAACCCGGCGCCCGCTTGCATCGGCTGCCGCCGCTCCCCCGCGAATTTCGTAAGCCCATTTGGAACGTCCGCTGTTGTATTGCGTGGTGTCGAGCCAGTCGCGTTTTTTCCTTTCGAAATCTGCCGAGCATGTGCGAGGACAACGCGAACGCGGGTAGCGTCGTACGCTCTTCGACTCTTTTTGAGGGTAGGTAAAGACGTCCGTCGTCTGGCAGACGCGTTGAGATTTTCTGCTTGTTTTATCCTACGTGAGTTTTGTTAGACGTCTCGTCGATAGCGCACGCAGTCCTGCTTTACTAAGGAGACATCTCTGCTATGAATTCGACGGTATTCGGCCCGATTAGGCGCTTGAGTGAGCTTGTGCACCTTACGAAGGATAATAGATGTGAGTACCAATAGCCGGTCGAGCTGTTGCAGCATATCCTGTTCCACGCGAGCCAATTTCGCGCTTTCGCTACGATCTGGGAGGCGCCGCGCATGCCGCGCACGCGTTGTGTGTACACTTGCGCGCGTTCCTTACGTGCTTGACTTCTTGTGTCTTGTCGTTCGACGCATTCGTTTTCCTCGTTTCGATAAGTTCTTTTTCTCTTCGGCTTTCCTTTGCTCGTGGTCGGCGTCAAGCTTTCTTTTTTTCTCTTATATTTTTTTTTCGAATTTGTACGCGTCCGTGCGCCGTTTTGTTTGCGTTGGTGCTGCTCTTTGAAAAACTGGTTTCGTCGATTCGAGGTCTCTTTCTCTCACCCTCTCGGCGGCAGGCGGGCGGCCCAGTCGGCCGCGCGCGCGCCGGCGGGAGTGGCTACGGCGAGGGAGGCAGCAAAACAAAAGAAGGGTCATGGAAAAGAAAGAGTAGGGGGGGCCCCGCGAAATAGGGGCCAGCCGCTGAGCCCCGCACAAGAGAAACGACCCAGCCGCCAGCGGGGCCCTCCTCAGGCGACCCCTCCGTCGCTGGAATCGGACGCACCCGGCGAGCCAGCGCGCCGTGCATCCAGCGGGCCTCCCTCCCCCCATAATTAACGTCCATTTCCGGTTTAATCGTTCTGTGCCTTGCCCAGCCGCGCCTACCTCCCCCGTCTCCCTTTGCCTGCCCGCCCTGCTTGGAGACGTGGTTACCGCCGCGGTCTGTGCCTTGGTGCCGGCCCTATTTTCTTTCTGGGGGATCGCGGCATGCTTTGTTTGGACCTTAACACGACTATGATTAGCAAGTAGCTACTTGCAAGATTGCGTTCAACCGCTTGTTCCTGGGTGAATGTGCTTGGGCAGAAATTCGCAAAGCTTTCGTGGCTAACATCGCGACGATAGTTTTCGCGCGAGAACAAAACGACGACACTGAGACAAGAAGGACACGAAACACACTAGCGCTCGTGTCTTTCGTGTCCTTCTTGTCTCATTGTCGTCGTTTTGTTCTCGCGATATAACTATGGTCATGCCATACCAACTAGCCCAAGCTGCCACTCTTCAAGAAACATCGCGAGTTGCAATGTACATAAGACGAGCGCTAGTTCTGTCAGTTCCTCCTTGTCCCTCCATGCGTGCTTATATATATATATATATATATATATATATATATATATATATATATATATATATATATATATATATATATATATATATTCGCTAACATGATTAAACGTATCATTAGTTTAATCGTAATTATTTTTATTAACGCACTTTTTGGGCCGGTCTAGAAGGCAATTTTCAGACACTTCAGGAGCTGCACTGAGGCTAATGTGTTTCGAAGTTTATTTCCGTTGTTTTGTAAATTAAGTTGTTAAATTATTGGGCATACGATTAAAGCCATCACAAACTTCTGTTATGAGGCGCTAGCATTTAGGAACGCTGCTGGAGCACGTACGCCACTTCTCGGTGTTCCCGTGGTGATGCGGCTGGCGTTCAAAAATGTCGAAATAATTGAAGTGTTAAGGATGGTACTGTAATTTTTATAACCACACTAGCCACACGTATGTAGAGTGGCGACTTTTTTGGCTAAATTTGAAGACAAATGGCGACCTTGGGCTACTTATCGCTCGTCGTTGGGCGATTTTCTCTCGAAAGTTAGTGGCAACCTGCTGCGCACATTGCTGGTTACCATCCGTGGGACAGCTGCGAGCTAAGTAGGGTCCGTGTACACTGCAAGCGCGACCGGTGACAAATTTAAAAGAAACCGAGTCAAATACAGGTCCCTCCCAGGGCGTAATGTCGTACCTCGTGGCTGTGTCATTGCGATACCCGCCATCCAACCCAAGCAGTTGAGCACACTCGTTGCTGAGGTCGAATGCAGCCAGGAACCGCCATTCTGTATAAAAAAAAAAAAGAAAGAAAGAAGCAGCGTCTGCCCAAAGAAACGTCTCCCGGTGCAGGAAACAGAAATGCGACTGAGGCGCCGCCTTCGAGCGCTCCTGGAAACACGTATTAACGCAAGATGCGTGCGCTATTGTTTTGGCACGCTTACACAGGGGAGCTTTTGAAGGTCGTGCATCAGGCGCATTTCCGATGACGTTCGTGCCAGAAGCGTCGTCCTGGCTGCTTTCGCTTACTCAGTGGCAAACCTTTCTGCTGCGGCAGGCCGTCATAAATATTGTCGTTTTTGCACTGGCCACGCTAGGAATGGGCCTACGTTCTGTATTACTCCTAACATTTTTTTTTAGCTCGTATGGTAATATTGCAACATCACAATTACACAAGCTGTTATACGTAGGTTGAACATGCATTGGCCAAGCTTAACGGTTAGTACATAACAGTTTGTTTTACGCTACTACTGCCGGGGAAATCCAGTATTTTTGTGATATTTAGGGCGCCTTTTGTCTTTATCAAAGCCGTGATATTGTTTGCAGTGTGCTTTATCGCCTGTTAAGAGGGCCATGCTTTTACAATATTCAGAAAAATGGAGATTAACTAAAATAGAGGGGTGTAGTAGTATTGATTGATTGATATGTGGGGTTCAACGTCCCAAAACCACCATTTGATTATGAGAGACGCCGTAGTGGATGGCTCCGTAAATTTTGACCACCAGGGGTTCTTTAACGAGGAGTGTAGTAGTAGTAGTAGTAGTAGTAGTAGTAGTAGTAGTTTAAGATGTGCTTTTCTGTAAATAAGTTTTCAGCATATATCGCTTTATTCACCCGCATCGTGGTCGATCCCTCGTATTGGATGGGGGAGAATAGATCATAGGGCAACTGTAACAAATGCCTCGGAACCCTTTTCAGTAGCATTTTTATGAAAGAGCAGGGTTTTGATATGTGAAATACGTGTTTCTTGTCCGTATATTTTTTCCCCTTCTAGCCAGACGTCAACTATACGACGCGGCTACGTTTATACCCGAGGTGTAGTGGTGCATGGAACTTGGAACTTTGGGTGCGAAATTGGAGCTGAACTACGATTACGTCATCAAGTCTTGAAAACCGGTGACGTCAATTCCTGGCTGTACCGCGGGCTGCACCACGCGCGTGTATCGAATTCGATGTGTTTAACGAACATTTCGGTGTTTGTTATCGTATGCGATGTTGTCATGCCTGTCATCGAGGTAACTTCTATTTAAGCTTCAACAAAACGATCTTTACTGTTAATTGGATGTGGACTGGAGGAATTACATGGGAGTGCATACCGCACTGTGAAGTACTATGCTGGAGTCCGGCAACATGACTGCGCCAAGCATCGTCATCACAATGCACTCTTTTACGTGATGTAGCAACGCTAAGTTGTTGATCCTGATGAATAATAATGCATGGATAGCTCAAGAATGACGGGTCACCTATAAAGCCTTATGGTGACTGAGGTCACTGCCAGTGAACAACTCCGAGGTCCAAAAATTGTTATGAAGAGAAATGTAGACACATTTGATCTGTGAACATGCTGCCGCAAGAATTTTTGCGAACACGTGCTACATTAAGGAAGTTGCAAGGGTTCGAACATCGGTTTCATTTTGTTTTCAAATTTTCGCGCGGCCTCGCCACCCTTCTCCCCCACAGAGAGGGGAAGGCGTAGCCCGTCGTTGTGACTGCATCGTTTAGACCAATGGACGAGCTGCGTGCTAAGTCGTCGATCGGCGACTTTGCGTCACTGCGCGTTAAAGCAACACCCTCTAGAGGGTGTTGGTTAAAGGCGAATTAGTCAGGCGTCGGAAAGGAGCGCGGGAACTGTTTCTAGAAATTGGGGCTCTGCGCGGCACGCAGCCCTGTAATATTAGGAAGACGTGATCGCTGTGCTCTATTCAACGAATCGCCGAGCTTCATTGGCGGGTGACAAAAAATGTTGCAGCCTCTCGACTGGCCCTTTGACCTCCCTGTCGTTTCCTTTTACCTATTTCTCTCTCTCTTTCTCTGTTCACAGCACATGTGAAGTAACCCGTAGAACTTGTTTCACTGCTAGTTTGCTTTGCAAAACATCTCGGAATGTTTTGTAACTGCTCCTTCTGTTTGGTTCTCTCCTATCTCGATATTTAGCGAAAGATCATCTTTGCAGTGTTTCACTAGCTACCTCGTAGTCTTTACGTTTTGTTACTGATTTCTACGACTGGATATGCATTTAACTGAAAACGTTGAAGTTTCGAACACGACCGCTGAGCTGCCGCGGCGTCTCAAGGCCACGTTCCCAACGTGAGCTGGGCGCTTAAAAGCAAGTT